GACAACTATAAATACTTAATTAAATGGAAAATTTCTAGAAGTACTATTGTGATAAAACTACACATGTTCGGAAGCAAATAAATATTTAACCCAAATGGTAAAAGTCAAATCTCAAATTATCTCAATCATAAAGAGCCTTGGAATGGACTCAATAATCATGCTTATGTTCTACTTTCAAACCTAAAATAATTATTTGTTAATCAAAATAATTCATGGCTATTTTCTTATACCTTAAGCTACTGAAAGTGAAAATAATATAAGTATTTATAGTCTACTCTCTAAACCTGAAATAAATTCAAAATAACAATTGTAACTTTAAATGCCCTAATGGTCCCCAAATAGTAGAGTTTACAATCAAATCCAAAAAATATATAAAATTAATACAAAAAACTCTAAATTATCCTCTAGCAAGTATATTCATGTCCCACATCAAGAAAAAGTAGTTACCGTATTAAGCTGCAAAGAAAATTATCTGTGGATCCAGCTTGGGGAGGCTTACTTCTGATTTTTCTTTTCCCTGTTGTTGTCTGGTGGGTGGTAGAAACAGTACTATGTGTAACATTTTGATGTCAAGTAACTCAAAGGCCTAGAAACAAAAGAAGTAAACAAACAGAATATCCAGATTACTAGTTACAGAATTAAAAATGAAAAAAAGAAAAAAAAAGAACTCCATTATTATGTTATTTGATCCACTCAATGTCATATATGCCATTAAACTGGGATTCCACATTCTATCACCCATAAAACATGTACAAAGACATAAACCAACTATCAGACTCCGAAGACTGAATGTTTAAAATGAAAAATAAGCACTCACAAGTACAAAACGAAATAACAAATAATGACATAGACATTTACTGATCCAAGTTCAACACTATAAAAATTTCATATTCACATAGGTTGTTGGAACTTGAATTTGAAAGAAGTCATTTGGATAATAAATTTAGTACAAAAGTGGCTGATGAACTCATGAAAGGTTGACTTTATTGATTATTTTCAAATTATGGATTTTCTAGATCTCTATTTAATGACAGATCTGAAATACCTTAGAATTTTGAAAATTTGTAATGCATCTACTTATACCCTCTCAAATACATAAGTGTCTTGAACCTTAATTAGTTTTTATATAGTATTTACTTTCATCCCTCAAATTTATCTACTTATATTCTCCCAAATTCATGCTCCAAAACATAGCAATAAGAATGTTAGATTTGATTATGCATGTGGTGACTTGTCCACAAACTTATGCAGACACAAAAATATTAATGAAAGAATCTAAACAAATCATATGAAAAGGGTTAGGAAACACACTTCAGATAATACTGGCTATACTTACAACCAGAATTTAGCAATAGATTTTTGAATCATGGTGAAACTAAATCCATAGCACACACTCAGAAGCTAAGGTGATATAAGTTTGGCATCCTATGCCTGTAGAATATCATAACAGAATCTTTGGTCACACTTGAAAGTTAACTTTCCCACAAATAATTTGCTTTATTTCTTTCCTTTTGTTGCCCTTATTTTTCATTTTCACCACCTGAACATCATAAAGATCTAGGCCTAGCTCTACCGAAAAAGAAAACGTTCCGTTTGACTGCCAAGTGCTCCACCAATCAAGTTTCCATTACTCCTAAGAGTGGACAAGCTAGGACAAAATTATCAAGCACCACTAAATCAGTAAATAAAGATGCCTGTACCAAAGCAGGCACCACATATCACCAAAAGCAAGGAATGACACAGTAGGAATTCTCATGATGATTAGAAATTGGCAGGGGAACATGAAATGGAAACAGAATCCAACTCATTCCAATGGAAACTTCTATAAAAATCAAATAGCAAAAGGGATGCTAAGTGTAAAAAATCCAAGTACTTTCATAACTACAACACCATAGGAGAAAATCACAATTTTAATATTCTGAGCAAACCAGTAAAGTAAAACAGCAGTTCACTCAATCCAATAAGGCAGATGATAAGGCCCTTACCATTTAAGATGTAAACCCGCTCAAGTTGAAAACAGTAGAAGTTGCAAAATAGCATGATTGCATGAAATACTTTTAACTTGTATCCTTCAAATCCGAATTTAACAAGTGCTCAGGAAATATATGAATGCTTATAACCTACAAGCCTATTCTGCAGCCAAACAACTTGATAAGTTATTTGTATTTGCATTCTGCCCGTCCTTACTCAGCATCATAACAAATACACCTTTACAAGGCCTGATTTCCTATGAATTTCAATTTCATGGCAGAAAATGCAATATAATATGACCCTTGGTTAAAACTTAATAGGTGGTCATATTAGAATTAGTATTGTCATCATCAAGCCAAAGGAATTTCAAGTGATTATCAATCCCTAACGAAAACAGCATGACCTCCTCCATAAGCAAATAAGACATATCTCCTGCAATGAATTCGCACACCTTGCCATCAATTTCAATCAAACTACAGCCTGGTACCTTTCTGACCTTCTTTGCTCCCATTTCCTTCCTCACCTTCACTACCCAATCCCACTGGTTAGAAGAGGCATACATGTTTGACAGCAGGACATGAACCCCACCATGGTCAAGACCTCGCTCAACCAAGCTCCCAACTGTCTCCTTCCCTAACTCAACATCACCATGCACTCTACAAGAATTCAGTAATGCACCCAACACATAGGAGTCTGGTTCCATAGGCATCTCTCTCACTAATTTCTTTGCCTCTTCAAGCTGTCCAGATCTCCCCAAAAGATCTACCAAACATCCATAGTGCTGGACACCAGGCTCAATACCATAAACCTTGCTCATGGTGTTGAAGATTCTTTACCCTTCACTCACCAATCCCATTCGACTGCAAGCGCTTAGGACACATACAAAGGTAACTTCGTTATGAAGAACTCCTTCACTTTGCATCCTCACAAACAACTCAATCGCACTTGCACTTCGACCATGATTAGCTAGGCCTGAAATCAGAGAAGTATAAGCAAAAAAATCCTTATATGGCATCTCATCAAATACCGAACATGCTAGCTCAATGAAGCCGCACTTGGCATACATGTCAACAAGGGCAGTGCCCAAAACTCTATCTAACTCCATTCCATTTCTATCCACATATGCATGTATCCACCTTCCATGATCCAAAGCCCCAAGAAATGCAGAAGCAGTGAGAGCTCCCACGATCCCAGCATGATTTGGGCGAAGCCCAGAAAGCTGCATATCATTAAAAAGTTCCAAAGCCTCTCTAAACACCCCCATTTGCACATACCCAGTAATCATTGCACTCCATGAAACTGCATTCCTTTCAGGCATTTGATCGAACAGTCCCCTTGCAAACTCAACTTGGCCAGATTTAACATACCCGCTAATCAAAGCGGTCCACGTAATGACATCTCTGTCAGTGCTCACATCAAATAGTTTACGAGCTGCGTCCATTGAGCTCCAATTAGCATACAAATGGATCAATCCGTTTAGCACAAAATCATAAGATTCCCAACCCAACTTAATCGCTTGAGCATGAGAAGCTAAACCCATAGAAAAATTCTCAGTGCAGGCTCGAAGAACGAAAGAGAAGGTGTAGTTGTTGGGCAAGAACCCACTGTGAAGCATGTTTTTGTATAGAGAAAGGGCAGTGGCATTTTCGTTTTTCTCTACAAAAGCTCTAATGATGGTGTTCCATATGAAGGTGGTTCGATGTTGAAGAGAAAGAAAGAGTTTGTAAGCATGAGAGAGATCAGCATTGGAGGAGACAGCAAAGAAGGAAATGATTTTACCGGCGGCAAAAGGGTCCAAAAGAGTGGCTGAGACGATGAGATGAGATTGCATCTGCTTGATTTGAGACATTGTACAACACTGGTCCAGCAAGGAAAGACTTCTTTGGCTAGCCTTCACATATTTGGAGGCAAGGCTTGAAGCTGACATTGTCAAACCAAATCATCCTTGCTTTCCACCGATCTTTAAAAACATTAAACAAATAGTGCAAACAAGCTTCTTTATCCGCACGTTCTCGGGGTCTCTCAATAATGAAACATATATATATATATATATATATATATATATATAATTGTAACTAGAATAAGCGCCCGCACTTTGGTTGTAATATTTTTTTATAGTAACAATTATTCGTTAATTCGATTAAAGTTGTTTTTTTTTTATGAAAAAGTTTTAAGTTTAAATTTTGTGATCATTTGTTAAGATCATTTCAAATACACGATTTATAATCACTTGTTTTAGATTATCAAGTACGACACATTTTATTCTGATTTGAGAAATTAAACAATCTATTTACCTTTATTTTTTTTTATCAAAAAAATTTTTTATTAATTTTAATTTAAAATTTTGAAATTAAATTATCAAAAAGTTATTACAAAATGCTTCATTAATTTTCAACTCAAATTTAAGAAAATTAATTTTTTATTTAATATCATTCTACATTTCTATTTTTATATAAGATGTAGCATGAAAATAATTATTGTATTTCTTTAAATTCATTTTTTCAAAATTTTACTTTATTATTATATATATTTTTAAATTCATTAATTGAAATTTTTTATCTATATTTTTATGATATATATTAACATGCATAAAAAAATGTGAGTTTTTACGAGTGTTGGATTGTAAACTCGTGCTATGTTACAAAAATTTTATAAAAATTTATAAAATTATATTTTTTTTAAGAAAGTTATGAAAATAATACAATTTAAAATTAAAAAAATTTATATGTGAATTTGTCAAAAACTCAAAAAATATATTTTATATTCCACATATCGACATGAATTATAATACAATAATTTTTATATTTTATATATATTAAATACGAATAAATAAATATAAATATATAAATCATTAGATCTAGTTATAACTCTTTATTCCATGCCATTTTATAAAACTAAAAGGAAAAAGTTGGAATAATAAGTGATGAGTGAATTTATGAAATGTTTATTAACACTATTGCCCATTAGCATTTGAACCCTAATATTCATTCCTTACCTTTGTGATTCTTTTCTAGTATAGAACTAGTTTGTTCAAGTTGGAAGGTTGCGGCTGAATTTAGACTGAAACAATTGTAAAGTAGGAAGCAACTTGAAATTGAATAGCATGGAGAAATGGAGTAGGACATTTGAAGGCCCTACATGCCTCCACCTACCAACTAAACCAACTTGACTTTGAAAATAGTCCACTCTTCTCCTCTCCTACCTTGATTCTGAAAGATCAGCCCACGGATTCTCTACAAACCATTGGCAGTGGGCAGCCACCAACCCTCCTACCCACTTGCCTACTCCTGTATAAATTCAATACTTTTGAGTTTCCCTCCTCCCAATTCCCCAACATTAGTGTATATCCCAAGCCTTTTCATCAGTTCATCCCTCTGTTTCCATCTTAAAACATGGCTTATCTACCTTATCTTCTTTTTATCAAACCAATTTTTGGCACAACTCTCACCCTACTTATAATTCTTGCACTCACCAGAAACTTCTTGTACCCCCAGCTCTACGCAAATTTGCCCCCAACCCTTCTCTCACTCATCACCTTTGTTCCACTTGCTATCTACTTTTTCTTCCACACCATTTTCAAGTCTTCGGCTGCCCTCCCTCCAGGCCCTCTCTCTATTCCAATATTTGGAAATTGGTTCCAAGTTGGGAATGACCTGAACCACTGCCTTCTAGCTTCCATGGCACAAAAGTATGGACCAGTATTCCTCCTAAAACTTGGCTCAAAAAATCTGACTGTGGTATCAGACCCTGAGCTAGCCACCCAGGTGCTGCACACACAAGGCGTGGAATTCGGTTCGAGGCCGCGTAACGTTGTTTTCGACATTTTCACTGGCAATGGACAGGACATGGTGTTCACAGTTTACGGGGAGCATTGGCGCAAAATGCGTAGAATTATGACGTTGCCATTTTTCACTAACAAAGTCGTACATCAGTACAGTAATATGTGGGAGGAAGAAATGGAGATGGTGGTTAATGACCTGAAAAAAGATGAGAAAGTGAAGACCAAAGGGATTGTTATCAGAAAACGTTTGCAGTTAATGCTTTATAATATCATGTACAGGATGATGTTTGATGCCAAGTTTGAGTCACAGGAAGACCCGTTATTCATTGAGGCAACCAAATTCAATTCGGAGAGAAGCCGCTTGGCTCAGAGCTTTGAGTACAATTATGGTGACTTCATTCCATTGCTCAGACCATTTTTAAGAGGGTACTTGAACAAGTGCAGAGATTTACAGCTCAGGAGGCTCGCCTTTTTCAACAAATATTATGTTGAGAAAAGAAGGTGATTGATTGTTTTACCTTTTCCTGATTTATTATTTGTTTTGTGATCAAGGGATAGTTTAACGTTAAGTTGTGATCAAAAGGAATTTTTGAACGAAAAGGTTACTTTCAACGACAATGCTAAACTAAATTTAAGTCCTATTTGATCGGTTTTGATTTATATTTTCACAGGGAAATAATGGCTGCAAACGGGGAGAAACACAAGATTAGCTGTGCTATTGATCACATCATAGACGCTCAAATGAAGGGAGAGATTAGTGAAGAAAATGTGCTCTACATTGTGGAAAACATCAATGTTGCGGCGATTGAAACCACACTCTGGTCGATGGAGTGGGCTATAGCTGAGCTGGTGAACCATCCCGCTATTCAGCACAAGATTCGCCAAGAAATCTCACATGTCCTGAAAGGAGAGCCAGTCACAGAATCAAACCTCCATGAATTGCCATACTTGCAAGCCACGGTAAAAGAGACATTAAGGTTACACACCCCAATCCCATTGTTGGTGCCCCACATGAACCTTGGAGAAGCAAAGCTTGGAGGGTTCACCATTCCAAAGGAGTCCAAAGTGATAGTCAATGCCTGGTGGTTGGCAAACAATCCCAAATGGTGGAAAAATCCAGAGGAATTCAGGCCAGAGCGATTCTTGGAAGAAGAACGTGACACAGATGCCGTTGCTGGAGGGAAAGTTGATTTTAGATACCTGCCATTTGGAATGGGCAGGCGTAGCTGCCCCGGAATCATACTAGCACTGCCAATCCTGGGGCTTATCATTGCCAAATTGGTTACAAATTTTGAAATGAAAACTCCCCTCGGAACAGACAAGATTGATGTGAGTGGTAAAGGAGGGCAATTCAGTTTGCACATAGCAAACCATTCAACGGTTGCATTCAGCCCGATTATGGTATGATCTCATTTGAAGAATGTTGGCCGTAAATTTTTCATTTTCATATTTCATTGGAACTATTTAACAACGAAAAGTTTCTCAAGAAAAAGCAGATGCCACACAAGTTAAAAGTATTTCCTTTGTATTTATTTGCTGTCCTGTATCATTTCTTTTCCTCTATTTTTTGTTTGGACAAAATTTACGAAAAAAGTTGATTTGTTCTAACGTTAGAAGTTAAACCCTTTTTTTTTTCTTTTGGTATAATATTGATGTTCAATGATTTATAACAGCAAATAGAAAACTCATGATAAATTAAAATAAATATTAAGCATTTACTAAGATGCATAAAGAACAGTTGGTTGGCACAGGATGCACCTATTAATCCTATTATCCGCCCAAGCCTTTGATTCAGTTAATTGCTACGTGGTCATGTTGAAATGGACTCGATTCACCCATTCCCAAACTAAAAGTACAAAAGAAAAGAATAACAATCCTGTTATGTCCCAAATATGAGCAAATATGCATACAAGTGCCAAGCCCAAAAACATCATCAAATAAAGGCCAAGTCATAGCATTACTAGGTGGCTTGAGTAATTTAGGTACTTCAGCAGAAGCAAGCACAAGCCTTCTAAGCATGCAGTGTTTATTGTCCGACCGACCAAAATGATCCAGCTATACCATTTCAGCATTCTATAAAAGGTAATCTCACCAAAACCCATTCAACCAATTTTAACAAGAAAGCCTCTGCCCTCAGAAGAGTTACTGCAATATTCTTTTTTAATTTTATTAAAAAAAATCCTTCTATTCACAAAATTTTCGTTTGAACAGAAAACAATATCATGGGTATAGTTATTACATATCTGATCCAACAAAAATATGCAGCGACATCGTCATGGAACAAAATTTAGAACTGCAGTCCGTTAAATAGAAACTAAAAAGCTAAAGAATGAGGAGGCAGGATAAAAGTTAAGAAGATAAAGAGGAGAAATCTATTAAGTCAGCATATGACAGTGCACAAGACCAACAAAAACTTTATGCCCACAGGTGGTTGTCTTCCGTAACACAAGGAGCCTGCACAAAGCACATTTAAAGATAAAGGGAGTTCGCAAACATGATACCTCTCCGTAGGCTTTCACTTCCCGCAGCAAACTTGTTTTCCAAATCAACTTCTCCAACAGCTTGAGCAGCAGCACGGAGCTGAGTACAATAAGTAAATCTCTAGTAAAACATTCAAACAAGAGGTATTTTAAGTTGAGAAACCCATGCCTAGGGGTCACAATTCATGTTTGCAAGTTATAATTGTGTTGTGTCAAGATAGGAGCATAACAAACAGATATATGAACCCTTGGCATGAAACATGCTTATGAAACACATTCCATGGCATGGAACGACTAACATGTTTATTTAACAGGTCCTAACAAAAGTTCTAAGACACCACTTGATACAACATGTTTACACGACAAGAAACTCATAACCCATTTAAACTTGCATCAAAATAAATTCAAATATCAAAATTGAAATTATAAAAGTGAAAGTCAGTGGCAACAAAATCATTATTAATATGATATAAAATTATTTTTAAAATATGAAAACATTTGTATGAACAAAAATATCGAGATAAACCATTTTATACCATACATCTTGATGATGATTAACCATATATGCTCTTAAAATTAAAAAAAAAGAAGAAGAAAAAAAAAGGGTAAAAGACGTTTAGAGTCTTTAGACACTTAGATGAGGAAATGGAAGAGATGTTGGAAGAAACAGTGAGGGGTGAGAGAAGGACATCAAGGTGGAATGAATGGTGGAGGGAGAGACAGTTGAAGGAAAAGATAAGATGGGTCTACTCAATTTGAGGTGAGGTCGTGAGAAAATATTGGAGGAAGGAGCAGTTCGGCTGCTTAGATTTTCAGAATTCAGATATGACAAAAGCTAGGTATCTATGCTAGGGTTTTCTTTATGGATAATCATCTCATATACTACGTGATACTTATAGTTTCCACCAACAGGGTTAGAGTGTTACCCTTTAGGATATATTAAAAAACTAATATAATTATAAAAAATATACACATGATAGCTTTTTAACACTACTTGTGAAAGTTAAAATAAAATAAAATAAAATAACTCTACCAACAGCGTATAGAAAAAGAACCTTTTTTATTTGATTACCATTACCATCCCTACGTTTCTAATAAAATACTTTAAATTCCAATTCTTCAAACAATTGTGTTAAGCTTAAAATAATCTTTATAACCTTATATTTAAATGTGTATAAGCGGGTTAGAGGATTGAAGTTATATCCATTGACAGGATCAGCATAATTAGTTGAACAAGTTAAGCAGGTTGTAAACTGGTTAGGCAGGTTGACTTGTCTAAGATAAAAATTTCCAGGTCAAAAATGCACTGACATGATTGTGACATAACACAATTATTCAAAACCCTAACCCCCTTAACTATGTCTCATGTTATTGAAGCGTGTCCAAAATTGCTAGACCTATGGCCATAACAATTGAATATTGGAAAACACAGGAAAATAAAGAAATAAGGATCCATAGAGAAACTCCCAAAACTGTGTTTCAAAAATCCTAGCAGACAAAAACGAAAAAACAAAAGCAGAAGAGCATGTGTATCACGATAATGTGGGAAGGGGCGGAAGACAAACAGTGGAATTTCTGATCAATTTACCTGGTTCAAAAACTCATCAAGCCTTCTAGCACTCCTAATAATGCTACCCTCAAATATATCAGTCATCTGTATTACCTCTGCAAAAGTTGCACCCTGAGGAAAACGATCAATAAATAAGTTGAAATCATAGTAGATTAAAAAGAAACCAAAAACAGAAACAACATGCCCAATCAGAGCAGTCACTAGAAGGACACCTGAATAAACAATACTAATAGCAGAACAATAAATCTGATAAAAACACATGAGAAAGAAAGAAAACATAGACAACCAGATAAGAAGATAGTGGAATTAGATTTCAAAACTTAATTTTAAAATGAATCCAGCAGCAAACTTTGAACACACATAGAAGCAGCAATCTTTTCATAGCAGAACCAATTTCATAGAGCACTAACCTTAGACCAACAATAAATCACATCCATCAAGAATGGTCTCACTGTTGATTCCACATACTCATCTACATTTACATCCAATTTGCATTCATGTTGTATCTGCAACCATTTCAAAAGTTTTCTAATTATTTTATTTATGGTAAGTGAATAACATAGATGAAGAAAAGTAGAAAACTTCACAGATGAATAACCTCTGCGATTCTCCTTGCACTTTCTTGAAGTTGATGTAATGGTTTAGCAATCTCTGTCCTCAACTGTATTTGTTCACTTGATTTATCTACCGGAATAAAACAACTTGCAAGGGCTGCTACTTGGTGATGATCAAGATCATTGAATGTACCTGATTAAAATTTGTTAAAAACTTTAAACACAAGGAAAAAAAAAAAAGATGCAAAGATTTGCCTTATCAGCTCTAAAGTTGACCTTGCATTCAGCCACAAAATGACAAGCCATGAAAATCATATAATGTTAAAAAATTGAAAAACCCCTTAATGATGCATGTTCTACAAGTTAATTAGTATATTTGATAATTCAACAAAGAATTGCAAGTTTTATTTAAGCTCCTATAATATTAAAAAGTTCATATATTTTATGTTATCAATTATTGAGCTTATCAGTAAATATCTGAAAAAAAAAATCAATATGATTATATAATATAAAATTTAGTCATATTTAATATTTTTCTCATTAGTGTACCATATTTTATTTGCTCTTTTGAATTTTTGCTGTTTTTTTTTTTTTTTCAGTTAGGCATTTCCAGAGAAATATTTCCTCAATCCTATTGTGTTACTCTGATTTGAAACATGCACAAAGTCCAAGGATAGTTATGGTTATAAATCAGTAATCAATTGCTTATTCAATTTTAATAATAGGTAAACATCCCCCTTTTTAAATAGACAAATCTTGGCACAATTCAAAAATGGAAAGGACTAACATTAAGCAGTGGAGTTTATGAATATAGATGGATGAAGGAATTTCATTTTTATTTTTCTTCTAAGAAAGAACCTCATCTGCGCAAATTTTTTTAAATTACTAGTAGAATTATGATAATTTAACTAGTATTTCAATTTAAAAAGAATTTGATGAAACTAAGCCATTACAATGATAACAGGTATGATTGCATTTTAAAAAACCAACTCATAAGGTTTGCATTAGCAGCACTTCTCTAAACGAAATTCTGACCAGGCTAGCATCTCTAGAAAGGCCTCGCCCACCTGGCGGGGAATAACTGGCCTTAATAGATAAGATAAAATCCTATGTACTACAAAATGGGTTGGGCAACGGTAGTTGAAACTCACCATTAAACATCAGTTCTGTTACAAGCAATTCATCTCCAGTGTCTATTAAACAGGCTGCCCGTCCCTTTAACTGGACAACATCATCAGCATCAATATGGCCTAGCTTTTTCAGGACCCTCGCACGGTTCTTAAGTTCATCACGGAATTTTTGAAGCTGCAAAAGGAAAAGGAAACTTTAACTAAAATCATGGACCAATTGAACAAAATTAATAAAGTTTCTACTGATCTACTGAAAGACCGTTAAAGCTACTACTACTAACAAGAAAGAGCTTCAAAGATGATATCCCTTTCTGTGCACCCTCGTGGGGAAAAAAAAAAAAAAACCAGCATAAAGTAAATTTGTGCATGTGAAAACAGAAGGTGATTTGATACTCAAGCTATTCTAAAATCAGATGTACTTTTTTTTTTTCCTTTCTTCTAGCAAAGATAAAATCACATGTATTATGTGCTTCGCATACCATACATAAATTAATCTAATCGACCAACCAGGAAATGTGTGAGAAGGTACTCATTCTAGTATCGGTTCATTGCACAATTACAATGTTTAAGCTATCAAACCAACACTTAAAAGTCCATCAAAATTTGCTGGTTCAGAATAATACAGAAAACTTTCATAATCAAAAGAAAGTCATATTAATACCCTCCTCCCTAAATTCGCAGCATATCTAATTACAGCTGAAAACTGTTGGATCCATTAAAAAATGACATCTTAGGTCTCAGTTGGCAAAAATTTTTTTTGTGTTATCTGTTTTAGATTAAAATTTTTGAAAAAGGCAATATAATACACGTCTACTAGCATCTTTTGTTTCCCAAAAGATTATTGCTCACAACATTTGAATCAACAATTTCTTTTTGTTTCTATTGTTTTCAATTATGTTGATTAAATGCAAGAGTAATTT